ACGATGTCCAAAAGATATATACCCATCAGCGTTTAAATTTCTATAAGCTATATTTTAAAAATTAAAACCATACAGTACAGTTCATATTTTGGATAATATCGCTAACTTAACCAAACCGAAATTAGATATAATTTTAAAACTACTTACAAACATATATTCAATCGAGAAAGTTATTGCTATAAAAAAAAGGATGACAAAAATAACTTTAACAAAACATGGTCACCTTTATTCTCAGCATTTTATTCTTAGCTCCCTGTTGATACATGATATGTTTGAATCTGATTGTGTGTTGCAACCGTTTTGGTTTGAAATAGGACAATGTTTGTTTCAAACCCTTTAATTTTTTAAAGAGAGTATTGTGTCATTCCATGCAATCCGAAATATGTATTTGACGGAATACTGTATTTTTCTACAACTCTACAACAATAAAAAAAGTTTTTAAAAAATCAAAAATCCAATTGACAATCAGACATTTGATAAAATCAACTTCGTTCCTCAGTTACTTCAGAAAGTTTCATATTAAGTGTCCACATATCTAATCCAGGATGCCGCACACGAGTCAGCTGATCCCCAGCTCATCCAGGTGTTGTTATGAATCAATGAATGCGACATATGTACGCAGCGTGAACAGATCAAAGGACAGAGAGTGACACATAGACTTAGTGCCACTATTTGACAGTATATACGTTACACTTACGTTTTACTTCCATGTGAACATGTTAACTCAAATCTGTTGAGGTATCCTCATCTTGAGTCGAATTTAGCAAGTGATTATAAACTGACGAGCAAGGAAATCTCAGTTGACTTTATACGTTTGATTTTTAATAAATTGAAAATAGCTCGGGTCGGTGATGATTATACATGTATGATGTTATATACAGACATTAACTGTTATGGCGCTTAAACATCGCTCAAGATTACTTCTACATGTTATCAATTTTAAAAATATATAATTTGAATAAAAAAAAAATACACAATTTGTTTTTTGCCTAATACACAACTGCTGATGGAATCTTGCTTTTCTCGGCACAAATTTACATCAAATTTACATTTCAAACATAGTGGGGTTCATGTTGGAGCAAAAACACGTAGTAGGGGTCACGTGGTTGCATTTCATACCCAGTCTCCATTGAACGAATATACCAAAATTACCCTGCCACAGATTACTTTTTACAAACTGTTGCAGGAATGAGGGATGGTTAAATTAACAACAAATTTAACATTTTTTTCAATTTTCAATTACATAAAAACAGTATACTATGTTCCGTTCCCCAGTTTATGTGTATCCCTTGATTTAAATCTAAATTGCTACAACCAAATATACCAAGAAATGTAGACAGGGAACCACAGTTGAACTCTTGAAATAAATGTTTAATAAAGCCTCAGAATGATTTCAAAAAGTCAGAACTCGTAAACATTTATTTTTCTACCCTCAATATAGTTGTACTGTTGACAGAAAACGCGATGTATATAATATTCAGTACATTATGAATGTGTTGCGGCCGAAAGACTCCATGACCTGGATGTAGAGAAATATATGACGTTATTGAGAGGACACTGGCGCTCTTCAGACATGGGATATCTCTCTAGCAGGAACACACAGATGGAATTGTGCAAGGTGTGTTTGTTTGTTTGTTGTTTAAAGCCGCACTCAGCAATATTCCAGCTATATGACGGCGGTTGTAAATAATCGAGTCTGGACCTGACAATCCAGTGATTGACATCATGGAAATTATTGAGTGATAATTTGACTATCTCTTGATTAAAAGCTGACTTTCTCATAAAAAAGTATCATTTATTTTATTATGCGATTATGTGCCTCACTCTGGCAATGTGGGTTCGAATCCCGGATGGGACTCAACCCTCAAAAAGTACTAGAATCTGTACTTTACTTAGAAAGTGGTATCCCAAATATAACATTTTGTGTTACAATTGAACACTTTCTAAATGGCATTGTGTGTTCAATATGCACAGGGTATAACACCTGGTCCCACTTGCACAAAGCAATCTTAGCGCTAAGACTATCTTAAGCCTATGTTAATGAATGGGAGTTACGATCATCTTAGCGCTAAGATCGCTTTGTGCAAGTGGGCCCTGGTCCTGGTTTCCAAACGTTGAAACGGTTTGGTCTCGAGACTGAAACTGACCATTTCATAAATTAGACACCAGGGTTCCAACGCGATGTATATAATATTCAGTACATTATGAATGTGTTGCGGCCGAAAGACTCCATGACCTGGATGTAGAGAAATATATGACGTTATTTAGAGGACACTGGCGCTCTTCAGACATGGGATATCTCTCTAGCAGGAACACACAGATGGAATTGTGCAAGGTGTGTTTGTTTGTTTGTTGTTTAAAGCCGCACTCAGCAATATTCCAGCTATATGACGGCGGTTGTAAATAATCGAGTCTGGACCTGACAATCCAGTGATTGACATCATGGAAATTATTGAGTGATAATTTGACTATCTCTTGATTAAAAGCTGACTTTCTCATAAAAAAGTATCATTTATTTTATTATGCGATTATGTGCCTCACTCTGGCAATGTGGGTTCGAATCCCGGATGGGACTCAACCCTCAAAAAGTACTAGAATCTGTACTTTACTTAGAAAGTGGTATCCCAAATATAACATTTTGTGTTACAATTGAACACTTTCTAAATGGCATTGTGTGTTCAATATGCACAGGGTATAACACCTGGTCCCACTTGCACAAAGCAATCTTAGCGCTAAGACTATCTTAAGCCTATGTTAATGAATGGGAGTTACGATCATCTTAGCGCTAAGATCGCTTTGTGCAAGTGGGCCCTGGTCCTGGTTTCCAAACGTTGAAACGGTTTGGTCTCGAGACTGAAACTGACCATTTCATAAATTAGACACCAGGGTTCCAACGCGATGTATATAATATTCAGTACATTATGAATGTGTTGCGGCCGAAAGACTCCATGACCTGGATGTAGAGAAATATATGACGTTATTGAGAGGACACTGGCGCTCTTCAGACATGGGATATCTCTCTAGCAGGAACACACAGATGGAATTGTGCAAGGTGTGTTTGTTTGTTTGTTGTTTAAAGCCGCACTCAGCAATATTCCAGCTATATGACGGCGGTTGTAAATAATCGAGTCTGGACCTGACAATCCAGTGATTGACATCATGGAAATTATTGAGTGATAATTTGACTATCTCTGACTTTCTCATAAAAAAGTATCATTTATTTTATTATGCGATTATGTGCCTCACTCTGGCAATGTGGGTTCGAATCCCGGATGGGACTCAACCCTCAAAAAGTACTAGAATCTGTACTTTACTTAGAAAGTGGTATCCCAAATATAACATTTTGTGTTACAATTGAACACTTTCTAAATGGCATTGTGTGTTCAATATGCACAGGGTATAACACCTGGTCCCACTTGCACAAAGCAATCTTAGCGCTAAGACTATCTTAAGCCTATGTTAATGAATGGGAGTTACGATCATCTTAGCGCTAAGATCGCTTTGTGCAAGTGGGCCCTGGTCCTGGTTTCCAAACGTTGAAACGGTTTGGTCTCGAGACTGAAACTGACCATTTCATAAATTAGACACCAGGGTTCCAAAGGTCTAACTTATTTAAACCATACCCAACATGCAAAGAACCTTTGTACCTGAAACATTTAAATATGCTTTGATAACCATATCTGAACAGATATTATAACCCTACTGCCACTTTTGCCTATTGTATTGTAGGCATCTTTCTATCTCGTAATTACCTCTTGGGAGGTCTTACTTTTTCGATGTTTTACCTTTTTCAGGTAAGACCTGATGATTTGAGATGTAGATGGAATTTGGACTTAGTGTTTCAAACGTCCAATGTTCTAACACCGAAGCCAAGAAATAAAACTTTTTCATTGTAGACAACGGGAATCGAACCCGCATCCTCAAATGTCGTGTAACGTTTTGTAACCAACTCGATTCCCCACATGGGTACAGTGTGTGAAGCCCATTTCTGGTGTCCCCCGCAGTGATATTGCTGGAATATTGCTAAAAGTTGTGTAAAACCATACTCACTCACTCACTCACTCACTCACTCACTCACTCACTCACTGTAACCCACAGTGCCACCGAGGGTTTAATTTTAGATGTCATGATGTTGGTAATATGTCATTGGTAACCCCCCGACCCCCAATACCTCCCCCCCCTCCCACCACCTACCCGCCAACCCAACCACCCCTGTCACCAACACCTACCGACCTACCCACCTACACCCACTACCACCACCTACCCACCTACTCACCTACCCCTACCCCCTACCAACCTACCCCAACCACCTACCTACCTAACCCCACCACCGGCTACCAGCCTACCCACCCAACACCCACACCTAGCGACCTATCCCATTCCCACCCACCCCCACCCCCACCCCACCACCAACACCAACACCACCTACACGCCTACCCACCTACTCCCACCACCACCTACCAGCCTATACCAGCCTATACCAACCTACGCCCTCCGCAACCACCTACCGACCTATCCACCTAACCCCCACCACCCCCAACAACAACCTATTTACCCACCTACCCCCACCACCACCTATCCGTCTACCCCCCCCCCCCCCCCCCCCTCACCACCACCAACCCGCCTACCCGCATACCCCCACCACCATCTACCCGCTTACCTACCTACCTCAACCAACAGCTACCAGCCTACCCACCTACCCCCAACACCAACCGACTTATCCACCTATCCTCCCCCCCCCCCCCCCCCACCAACCACCACCTACCGACCTATCCACCTACACCCCCCCCCCCCCCCCCCACCACCACCACCACCACCATCACCTACCAGCCTACCCACCTACCCCCACCCCCACCACCTATCCACCTACCCCCACCCCCACCCCCATACACATACACCACCACCATCTTCCCACCTGTGTACTTCATAGACAACTCGACTGATTAAAGTATATAACTGTATATATAATGTATTCACTTTTCACCAGAAGGTCAACTCACCTGACCGCTTGCTGCGCCTCCCCGCTGACGTTCCGTACACTGTGTGCAGAAAAAAGGCATGATAGTTTAGTTGGAGCACATTAATCAACACCTGGATCTAAATACGCCTTATTATTTCACTTTACTCATTGGAACATTCTAGTGTCTTCACGATTTTCAAAGTGATTTAAAGTGCGTATTTTCAAATCAATTTTCCGTAAAAAAGAAACAGTACTTTAAACCACGAGCTGGATGTTGCCACAGCCGTTACAGTTTACAGTTACAGTTTTGTGTACAGCTGTAAATACAAAGTGTAACTTCAATTACAGTCAACTACGGTTATAACGCACACGTTTATAACGAACTGACCGATATAACAAACTTATTTTTTAGTCCCGGCCATTTGTTGTATATATGCTGAATATATGCTTATAACGAACTACGGTTATAAACGAACCAAATTTAGTGGTCCCTTTGAGTTCGTTATAACCGTAGTTTACTGTACTTGAATCTGTCATGGCAGCTTTAATGTAAAGGAACTTTTTTTCAGTTGTATACTCAAGACGCCAACACTCACACTTATTTTCAACTGACACATGCTTAATATCGGAAATGTAGAAATATTTAACTTGTTTTCATCAGTAGGAGTGAGTGAAGATGGATTTTAAAATGGCGTTCTATTTTATCAAGATGTTTGATTAACTCATTGGGTGAGTTAGTGAGTGAGTTCAGATGTAGTCACGTCAGCATTATTGTGACCTTGTGGCCTTGACTTGAATAATTTGTTCTCAGGTAATACACTAAAAAGCGAACCGTGAAGATCCGGGATAGAACAGGTCTTCAGCAACCCAAGCTTGCCGTAAATGTTAAGAATGCTTGTCGTAAGAGGCGACTAACGGGATCGGGTGGTCAGACTCGCTGACTTCGTTGATTGCATGTCAAATTATCCCAACTTGGTGGCTCGTTGCGCATGATGTCAGTCACTGGATTGTCTGATCCAGACTCGATTATTTACATGCCGCTGTCTTATAGCTGGAATAATGTTGAGTGCTGCGTTTAACAGCAAACTGACATCATAACCAGTCACATCTTTTCATTGTTTCCCTAAAATGGTCGTTTGTAGTTAGACCACATACTCTATGGCTTTTGCTGTGCATAAACGATCCATTTGCAAAGTTATGTTCAACATACAATTCCGATACCGATCCCGTTAGTTGCCTCTTAGGACAAGCACAGTCGCCACTTACGACAAGCACAGTCGCCTCTTACGGCAAGCATAGTCGCCTTTTACGGCAAGCACAGTCGCCTTTTACGACAAGCACGGTCGCCTTTTACGACAAGCATAGTCGCCTTTTACGGCAAGCACAGTCGCCTTTTACGACAAGCACGGTCGCCTTTTACGACAAGCACGGTCGCCTTTTACGGCAAGCACAGTCGCCTTTTACGACAAGCACGGTCGCCTTTTACGGCAAGCATAGTCGCCTCTTACGACAAGCACAGTCGCCTTTTACCGCAAGCATAGTCGCCTCTTACGACAAGCACAGTCGCCTTTAACGGCAAGCATGGGTTGCTGAAGACCTATTCTAACCCGGACTTCCTACATTTGTGAAATCAAAAAATGGCAGAATCATTAACCAAATAAGACAAAAAGACTAATAATAAGACGACTAAAAAAATGCTCATTTCACACATAATTTAAACTAACGTTATTTAGTGCTTCTTATAAGTTCAGTCCAGTTAAATTTGAACACATATTCATGGAAAGTAACCCCATACAATACAACAGATAATTCAGTACACTGCCGGGCAAAAGAAAGTATACACTCAAAGGTTATTCGATGGTGATGCATTTCATACGGGGATCTTAACTTTGAAATGTTTCGGCCACTGTTTTCAGCCTAGTGACGTTTGAGTAACCTTTGTAATTTTTGGGTCAAATTCATTTTATAAGAGTATGCTTTCGTTTGCCCGGAGGTTTAGTTTGGTCAAACATAAGATCCTTCTGTTTGAACCGTTGTGTTTGATGAGCTCGTCTACCATGTTGAGGGACACGTTAAGATCCGGGGTAGAATAGGTCCTCAGCAACCCATGCTTGCCGTAAGAGGCGATATGCTTGCCGTGAAAAAGTGGTCAGGCTCGCTGACTTGGTTGATGCATGTCATCGTATCCCAATCACGTGGATTGATGCTCATGATGTCAATCACTGGATTGTCTGGTCAAGACTCGATTATTTACAGACCGTTGTCATATAGCTGTCATATAATATTGCTGAGTGTGGCGTTAAACAACAAACAAACAAACAAAAAAACAAACAAAAAACCATCTGGGGGATACTCCTATATTCCGAAAACGTAGCACAACCTTTCATGTGACGGACTGACACAGACCAGGGATGTGCTGGATGACTAACAACGCGGCGTTCACTCACCTGTCAGGAGGATAAGGAAGATGCTGAAGGTAATATTCATGATGACGTTGTTACACTCAACACTGAGTGGAAACTGAATGAAGCAACGCTGTGTATGGGACACGGATACGGTGTCAGATGGAGCACCTGACGTGGTAGAATGTCGTGCTCCCAAGAACACCAATAGCTCTCACCAAAGCTGTTTCACATAAGGCCATAGAGTACAACCAGACCCAGGCCTTATGCTATCTCGAGTTTAACGGGTTCAATGTTGAGGCATGCAAACTTTAACAAATATTTCTTAAGGTGGTGATCATCTGTATGGAAACTGAAATTGTGGTGAGGTACAGAATAGGACCTTCACGCAGGGTGGTGAGGAACAGTATAGGATCTACACATACGGGGGTGAGGAACAGTAAAGGACCTTCACACACGGGGTGAGGAACAGTATAGGACCTTCACACGGGGGGTGAGGAACAGTATAGGACCTTCACACAGGGGGGTGAGGAACAGTATAGGACCTTCACACAGGGTGGTGAGGAACAGTATAGGACCTTCACACAGGGTAGATAGGAACAGTATAGGACCTTCACACAGGGTGGTGAGGAACAGTATAGGACCTTCACACAGGGTGGTGAGGAACAGTATAGGACCTTCACACAGGGTGGTGAGGAACAGTATAGGACCTTCACACAGGGTAGATAGGAACAGTATAGGACCTTCACACAGAGTGGTGAGGAACAGTATAGGACCTTCACACGAGGTGGTGAGGAACAGTATAGGACCTTCACACATTGTGGTGAGGAAAAGTATAGGACCTTCACACACGGGGGTGAGGAACAGTATAGGACCTTCACACAGGGTGGTGAGGAACAGTATAGGACCTTCACACAGGGGGGTGAGGAACAGTATAGGACCTTCACACAGAGTGGTGAGGAACAGTATAGGACCTTCACACAGGGTGGTGAGGAACAGTATAGGACCTTCACACATTGTGGTGAGGAACAGTATAGGACCTTCAGACAGAGTGGTGAGGAACAGTATAGGACCTGCACACAGGGTAGATAGGAACAGTATAGGACCTTCACACAGAGTGGTGAGGAACAGTATAGGACCTTCACACAGGGGGGTGAGGAACAGTATAGGACCTTCACACAGAGTGGTGAGGAACGGTATAGGACCTTCACACAGAGTGGTGAGGAACAGTATAGGACCTTCACACAGGGTGGTGAGGAACAGTATAGGACCTTCACACAGGGTGGTGAGGAACAGTATAGGACCTTCACACAGGGTGGTGAGGAACAGTATAGGACCTTCACACACGGTGGTGAGGAACAGTATAGGACCTTCACACAGAGTGGTGAGGAACAGTATAGGACCTTCACACAGGGGGGTGAGGAACGGTATAGGACCTTCACACAGAGTGGTGAGGAACAGTATAGGACCTTCACACAGGGTAGATAGGAACAGTATAGGACCTTCACACAGGGTGGTGAGGAACAGTATAGGACCTTCACACAGGGTGGTGAGGAACAGTATAGGACCTTCACACAGGGTAGATAGGAACAGTATAGGACCTTCACACAGAGGGGTGAGGAACAGTATAGGACCTTCACACAGCGGGCTGAGGAACAGTATAGGACCTTCACACAGGGTAGATAGGAACAGTAAAGGACCTTCACACAGGGGGGTGAGGAACAGTATAGGACCTTCACACAGGGTGGTGAGGAACAGTATAGGACCTTCACACAGGGGGTGAGGAACAGTATAGGACCTGCACACTAGGGGGTGAGGAACAATATAGGACCTGCACACTACGTGGTGAGGAACTGTATAGGACCTGCACATAGCAGGGTCAGGAACAGTATAGGACCTTCACACAGGGTAGATAGGAACAGTATAGGACCTTCACACAGGGGGGTGAGGAACAGTATAGGACCTTCACACAGGGTGGTGAGGAACAGTATAGGACCTTCACACAGGGTAGATAGGAACAGTATAGGACCTTCACACAGGGTGGTGAGGAACAGTATAGGACCTTCACACAGGGTAGATAGGAACAGTATAGGACCTTCACACAGCGGGGTGAGGAACAGTATAGGACCTTCACACAGCGGGCTGAGGAACAGTATAGGACCTTCACACAGGGTAGATAGGAACAGTATAGGACCTTCACACAGCGGGGTGAGGAACAGTATAGGACCTTCACACAGGGTGGTGAGGAACAGTATAGGACCTTCACACAGGGTAGATAGGAACAGTATAGGACCTTCACACAGGGGGTGAGGAACAGTATAGGACCTTCACACAGGGTAGATAGGAACAGTATAGGACCTTCACACAGCGGGGTGAGGAACAGTATAGGACCTTCACACAGCGGGCTGAGGAACAGTATAGGACCTTCACACAGGGTAGATAGGAACAGTATAGGACCTTCACACAGGGGGTGAGGAACAGTATAGGACCTGCACACTAGGGGGTGAGGAACAATATAGGACCTGCACACTACGTGGTGAGGAACTGTATAGGATCTGCACATAGCAGGGTCAGGAACAGTATAGGACAGTGTGAGAGTGTATGTGTGAGTGTGTGTGTGTGTGTTTGTGAATTTTATTTTTTGCATGTGTGTTTATTTGTGTTTGTTTGAATATATGTCTGAAAGTGTGTGTGTGAGTTTGTGTGAGTTTGTGTGAGTGTATTTGTTAGTGAGTGAGTGAGTGAGTCAGTGAGTGAGTGAGTGAGTGAGTGAGTGAGGTTATACATCTGTTTAAATAATTCTAGAAAATTAATTTAGATATATAAAAAGGATTGCAATAGTATTACAGGGGCACGATGCATGTGGAGTTGTTTGTTTACCGCCTTTGCAATGATGGTACAACTTTCATCCAATCGAAAATGTTACTATTCAGATTGTTTTTGTTTATAATCAATTATACCGAAAGTTGCTAATTTTTAGAAAATAAGGTACTTGGGTGTTTTCTTTTCATCAGTTAAAAACACACTTTACTCAGAAAGGGTTATCCCAAATATATAACATTTGTTACATTTTACCACTTTCTAAATGACATTGTGAGTTCATCATATATGGCCTCAAAATGTTCTCTGAATGCCATGCTTCCCCTACAGTGCAGTAATAATACGGGATGAGCCAGATAAAGAAAACTGTGAGCAGATACATCGCCATCACGCAACTGATCTGTTCCTCACACCCACTGGGGATCAGCTTGACGAATCGATACGTCAGATCGGCTTTTTTAAATGTATTGCTTCAGCAAGAGCACATGGAGTCTACACCTGGCACATCCATACCCCGGCGCGAAGCAGAGGGGGGCAATCAACTGTCGCTGATCAATAAGTTAGTTTCTGACAGGCAATCACACGGTCCTCAGTTGGTGTGTCACACGGTCCTCAGTTGGTGTATCACACGGTCCTCGGTTGGTGTGTTACACGATCCTCAGTTGGTGTATCACACAGTCCTCAGTTGGTGTATCACACGTTCCTCAGTTGGTGTGTTACACGGTCCTCTGTTGGTGTGTTACACGGTCCTCAGTTGGTGTGTCACACGGTCCTCTGTTGGTGTGTTACACGGTCCTCAGTTGGTGTGTTACACGGTCCTCAGTTGGTGTGTCAAACGGTCCTCAGTTGGTCCTCAGTTGGTGTGTCACACGGTCCTCAGTTGGTGTGTCACACGGTCCTCAGTTGGTGTATCACACGTTCCTCAGTTGGTGTGTTACACGGTCCTCTGTTGGTGTGTTACACGGTCCTCAGTTGGTGTGTCACACGGTCCTCAGTTGGTGTGTCACACGGTCCTCAAGTGGTGTGTCACACGGTCCTCTGTTGGTGTGTCACACGGTCCTCTGTTGGTGTGTTACACGGTCCTCAGTTGTCGTGTTACACGGTCCTCAGTTGGTGTGTCACACGGTCCTCAGTTGGTCCTCAGTTGGTGTATCACACGATCCTCTGTTGGTGTGTTACACGGTCCTCAGTTGGTGTGTTACACGGTCCTCAGTTGGTGTGTCACATGGTCCTCAGTTGGTCCTCAGTTGGTGTATCACACGGTTCTCAGTTGGTGTGTCACACGTTCTCAGTGTTGACTTTGTTCAACTAAACAAATCGCGAGTTAGGCCACGCCCCAAACGTGTCAAGCTGGTAAACAAAATATCAATGTCAGACAGTTTATATGCAATTCTCTAAAAATGTGATATTTTTACAAAGATTTATACATCTGTTTAAATAATTCTAGAAAATTAATTTAGATATATAAAAAGGATTGCAATAGTATTACAGGGGCACGATGCATGTGGAGTTGTTTGTTTACCGCCTTTGCAATGATGGTACAACTTTCATCCAATCGAAAATGTTACAATTCAGATTGTTTTTGTTTATAATCAATTATACCGAAAGTTGCTAATTTTTAGAAAATAAGGTACTTGGGTGTTTTCTTTTCATCAGTTAAAAACGAATTATAGCTGAATGTGATAAATGATAAAACTATAAAGAAAATATCGGACTGCATGCTGTTCAAGGTGAGGTGACAAAGGTCAATAATGGCCGTCTCTGTTATCTGGCCGTTATCTCGCAATGAATATTGCTAAAAACCAGATAACACCATGCTCGTTTACTTCGTAGGGGTATTTGTGTTTATTGAACTGAGATGTGCAATGGCTATTATTATTATCATTATTATAATCATCATCATCATCATTATTATTATGCCGGGGCGGGCGGGTAGCCTAGTGGTTAAAGCGTTCGCTCGTCACGCCGAAGACCCGGGGTTCGATTCCCGACATGGGTACAATGTGTGAAGCCCATTTCTGGTGTCTCCCGCTGTGATGTTGCTGGAATATTGCTAAAAACGGCGTAAAACCACACTCACTCACTCACTCACTATTATTATGCCTGGTGATTAAAATTGAGAGTCTCATCTAAAATCACAAGAGGCGAATAACAGGATCGATTGGTCAGGCTTGCTGAGTTGGTTGATGCATGCCATCGTATCCCAATTGAGTGTTTTTCCACATAGCACCAAGCACCATTACAAGATTGTGGAACCGTTACCAGGCACGCAGGACAACACGGGACCTTCCCAGATCCGGTCGATCACGTTTCACTACTGGAGCACAGAACAGATTCATACCTACGTCACTTACGTGAAAGAACCACCACGGCCACCTCGACAACTATCGCAAAAAATCACAACTCGTTTTTTGTGTAAATAAATAACTTAGCCTCCATCAGAAGTGGACAGGTTCGGTGGGGGTAGCGTTATGAGTATATTAGAATGTAACGCTAATTCATTTCTTTATTGCCTCTGAAATGATTTGCATAAATGCCATAGGAGGATATTTTAGGCCAAAACGGAGGCGATTCCATCCAAAAACACCAGATTCCATCCAAAAACACCATCGGGTACAAATTAAGCCGACTTGTGTTTTGAATCTGGATGGAGTGGTATTTGCCAAATGCCACTAGCACAGTCAAACACCCTAAAACAATTCAGCAGAGGTACTAGAGGTACAAATATAGGTTCGGTAACTGCATTGAGGCGTCTATAATCTACGGCAAAGCAGTAAGAGCCATCACGTTTTTTAACCTTGACAAAGGGAGAGTGCCATTGAGAAGAACTGGACTGAATGATATTGCCTTCAAACATTTCTTGCACCTGTCTGGAACATTCTTTCCTTATGAGGGGCGGTCGGGTAGCCTAGTGGTTAAAGCGTTTGATCATCACACCGAAGACCCGGGTTCGATTCCTGACATGGGTACATTGTGTGAAGCCAATTTCTGGTGTATATTGCTGGAATATTGCTAAAAGCGGCGTAAAACCACACTAACTTACTCTTTCCTAATGAATGCGTTTTGAAAAGGGAATCTAATCGGTCTGGTATCACCTGTTTCTATTGTGTGATAATGTAAGTGAGTGTGTCCTAATTTGGACCAATGTGAGGCAAACACTGATCTTTGTGATTGGAGAAATGCATTCTACTGTGTACTTGGCCTTTCAATATTTTAAAAATACTTTTGGGAACAAAAGCTCCACCACGTTCAGGGGTATTGTCATGGTGCATGGTTAGCCGTCGCCTCACCATGATGAAGTGATGTTTCCAGTCCACATCATCTTAGTAATTGGAGGTGGCCTTGTCGTCTAAGGCGCCGCGATTCGCTGTGCAGAGTTGCGTCCCCTGGACACGCCAGAAACCTATGATTGTGGGTTCGAATCCCGGTTTGCCCCGATTATGTTTCTAGGTTTGTCAGTGCCATACCCGTGCTCATGGGTTTCACCGAAGTGATAAACGTCTGAGACCTGCATAACTTCGGGCTCTCCTCCCACATTAAGCTGACACGCCGTGATATAACTGGAATACTGTCAAAAGCGGCGTAAAACCCAACTCACTCACTATGATTTATTTTCCCTCAGATATTGACTCAATCAGATGAGAAACCATGACTGTTTCAGTGCTGTTTCACTCACTTAGTAATTAAAAAGTACATTCCTCAGTAGGTGTGAGTACAAACATGTCAAGTTGACTGGGTTTTGCTACACATCGTGTTATAAACAAATTGTCTTTTTCATTTTTTTTATAAAATGCTTTATTATACGGCTTTTTTCATTGTTCTGCTTCAAAATCACTTACATCTGTACAGCTATTATGTTTTAGTGAATTGGCCAGACCGTCATGGGTGACGGTTGGTTGGTTGGTTGGTTTGTTGTTTAACGCCGCACTCAGCAATATTCCAGATATATGACGGCGGTCTGGAAATAATCGAGTCTGGACCAGACATTCCAGTGATTAATATCATGAGGATGGATCCACGCAATTGGGATCGATGACATGCATCAACCAAGTCAGCGAGCCTGACCACCCGATCCCGTAAGTCGCCTTTTACGACAAGCATAGTCACCTTTTACGGCAAGCATGGGATGCTGAAGACCTATTCTACCCCGGAGTCTTCACGGGTCTCATGGGTGACGGAGTAATCATCGGCCAAGGCTGGAGCCTGCTGTTACTAAACTACCTTCTGTTATCCAAGTACTAACATCAGCATGCACACACTGCTTGAAATATTCCAATAAAATAAGCTGTAATGAAATGCCTTACCAACATCCTTCGATTAAAAACACTGCCTGTCAACAGAGACTCTATTTCCCTAACAAAATCCATATATGTACCATCGCCCCTTTTCTCTGACTTTTTGCTGATTAATTTATCTTCTTTGTCGTTAATTACGGAAATGCGCCTAAGAGTGAGTGAGTTTGGTTTAACGCCGCTATTAGCAATATTCCAGCAATATCACGGCGGGGGACACCAGAAACGTTCTTCACACATTTTACCCATGTCGGGAATCGAACCCAGGTCTTCGGCGTGACGAGCGAACGCTTTACCCACTAGGCTACCCGACCGCCCCTTGCGCCAAGCAAATGTTTATTACCAGTACCCATGGCGGGTAGTAAAAATACTACAGACAAATGCATTTCCCTGATTGTGATGGTGTTTCTCATATAATTCTTGACACCCTGAATACCCGGGTTCGATTCCCGACATGGGTACAATGTGTGAAGCCCATTTCTGGTGTCCCCCGCCGTGATATTGCTAGAATATTGCTAAAAGCGGCGTAAAACCATGCTCACTCACTCACTATAATTCTTGACTGCATTCTTTACCAAAATGGGGGGTCTGGTAGCCTCGTGGTTAAAACGTTCGCTCGTCACGCCGAAGACCCGGGTTCGAGTCTCCACATGGGTACAATGTGTGAAGCCCGTTTCTGGTGCCCCCCGCCGTGATAATGCTGCAATATTCCTCACTCACTCCTCTTTACCACAGCATCTATTACATATTTAGCAGTGTAAACATAAGTAAAGCATGTAAAGACGGAACGCATGTACAAAGAATAGATAAATTAAGAATACAAAATGTTGCGCTAAATTTAAGACTGGGTACCTCCTGATCATGATAAGGGTTTTCTTAATATTATTGCCAACGACATAGAAATCGTATTTTGTATGTTGGCAATGGTCCCTGTGAATGGCTGGCCTCTTGATTTGTATTTCAATAGTTTCTCGCAGTTTCCTTTTGTGATTGATGTTGGTATAGAGAAAGCCCTCTTTATAGATTCGCTGATAGTATAGTTAAATGGAGACAATGACGTCATCCAGAAATCTCCAAACTCTTAACCATACGTTAAACTCCAAACCCTGCATGTGTTTTTTTCTTAAATACAAAGACAATGTCGCAAGTTTTATTTATTTTCGCACCTGTCGCAGTACCTTTGATCTTTTTGTAATGGTTTTCATCAAAGTAAAACGTATTGTTTTGAAGTATAAATATAATAACTCAGAAACAAATGATTTAGATATCCTTTCTTCATGCTGGCCTAACCAGTAGGAGGTGGCTTTAAGGTCTAAATCAGGCGGAATATTAGCATGAAGGTTTTACACATAACAAATTACAAGTTTGCTATTTCCTGGTTTGGTTTCCGGAAAATAATTTAGAAATACAAAAAGTCTATTTGGAAAATCTATTGTATCCTTGGTAAAATGTTTGACTGCAGATAACAGGATTCACAGAGTTTAACCGAGTCTGTATGCCGCCCAGGCTGTTCTTCAATTACAGGTCTAAGATTTATATCAGCTGCAAAATCATATATATATTTTAATTAAAACTATCATATTTTTTCAAAGGCATCTTGTAACTAGGTATTATTTTTTTGCAGACAATTTCTTTTCTCTTCAAAAGTCTGAAGCATAATTATTTTTTTCCAAGCATTTTCTGGGACAATGTTTTTATTTCGATAAAATCTTCATGATGCTCTTAAATAACAAAACGAAAATAACTATGACAAATACAATTCATGCATTAAAGGTGTTATTGTATGAATACAGTTGGCAGATTTAAATAAGAGAAGTTAAGAAATTGTGGCTTAAGGTGGTCCAGATATGGTTAATTCAGAAACGCTTGAAATTCATTCTGAGAGTTGTATCTTGACTGGGTTTCTGTCAACTGAAACGAATGAATCACAAAGCGCTAAGCTTGCAGTGTGAACCAACAAGTTGAACCAGTGTAAATGCACTCGAATCTAAACTGGTGTCTGTCTTTGTGCGAAACGTATAACGAAAACCAGTCTACTCTCTGCGATATTGAGTTCAAAGGTCAGAGTTCAGCTGCAACTTCCGTAACTTCCGGTGGCCAATGTTTACAGTTTTGATGATAAAGAACAAGCACGATAACACCTATTTTAACACGTGAAGTCTAATCAGAAAACCTTGACCTAGTCAATGGCAACTCCAGAGGAGAGCATGCGATCTTTAGAGGCGAAGGTGGTTGTTTTAGGCTCGCAAGGTAAGAAAATGGGCGACGAAGTGTAAACTGGTCTATTTCACTTCCGAGGTGTTCAAACGTCAAGACAAACATTTTGCACCTGCCTTGTCATACAACTTTCAAGCAGATGGTAATAACGGAAACTGTTTTAGAAAATTTGAACACCATTTATGATGTTACCTGATTCGACACGCCCTAACATATTTTGAGGCCATTGAGTGCACATACTACCTGAGCCTGGAGCCTGGGGCAGGTTAGCACCTATAAATAGACCCACTCTGACAGTGCATTGTTTTACTGTCGGATACTCACTGCTGACAACTGAAGTTGGCTAAAGTGTCATCTGTGTATACTAGATTGTGTTCTGTGTGACAGATGTAGATGACATCATTTTGTAAAATAATAGTGAGAGAGAGTGAGTATGGTTTTACCCTGCATTTAGCAATATTCCAGCAATATCACAGCGGGGGACACCAGAAATGGGCTTCACGCATTATACCCATGTCGGGTATTGAACCCGGGTCTTTGGCATGACAAGCAAATGCTTTTACCACTAGGCTACCCGACCGCCCCCTGTAAATAATACAGCTGATCGACACATCAAGATCATTTCCTTCCAAATCCAGAAGAATTAGCTCTCACTGTCTCAGATCTTCCCTCCTGTATTTGAAGCTGTGATTACCATATTCCCAGATCTGTTCATTATTTTAAATCAGTTTTTCAGTTTGTCACAACTGGGGGTGCTATGAATTGTTCCGCTAGAAAAGTCAATGAGTACACTTCTACATCACTAAATGGCTACCAGTCATAAACTATTTTTAAAATCTTTGTAACAATCTCTCCAATACTCACATGATGTCAAACTTCATTTCACCTCTCCGTTTTAGAATAGGTCGTCAGCAACCCATGCTTGCAGTAGAAGGTGTCTTTACTTGTTGTAAGAGGACTAACAGGATTGGTTGATACATGTCATCGATCCCAATTACGTGGATTGATGCTCCTGTATGTCAATCACTGGATTGTCTGGTCCAGACTTGATTATTTACAGACTGACGTTACATAGCTGGGCTATTGCTGAGTGCGGCGTTAAACAGCAAACAAACAAACACACAATAATAATGCCAAAATATATGTCAGGGCTTGAAGACTCAGAAGTATTTGGCTGAGACTCAAGGCCACAATTTTGTCCAGTAAATTAAGTGGTCCAGATTAGTCAGAGCCCTGTTTGGACAGATATTCCAGTGTATTCTATTGTGTGTTTCAGGTGTGGGAAAGACAAGTGTTGTGATCCGCTATGTCGGGGGAATGTTCAGCAAGGCTGTCAGTCCCACAATCGGTGCTTCCTTCTTCACATACAAGATGTAAGTAACCATGGTAACTGGAAGGTACAGTGAGAAGTGATTGAGTTCGTTTTAAACGTTGGGACACCCAGACGCTGATAATAGGCCTCATGTCTCGGCATCCAGTTTGTAAACAACATGGATCTCAACGTGCAGATTTCCGTCAACTGTAGGCTTTGCAAAGCATGTGTACCTTCAAATGACAGATATACCGTTGACAGATATTTTCCAAATCTTTTCATGTTTCTAATCAAGATGCTCAAATGATTTGATGCAAGGTAATAGCTGTTTTATTGCAGTATAGATTTTGATTATCGATCACGTTGTCATTTTGTTTGAAGTAATGCAAGTGATATGAGAGGTGGAATGTGATTGGTCAATAGGAGGCACATAGAAGGAACTATAGCCACTGGTTGTGCCACACATTTCCAGTCATGTGACAGCCTTGCCTCAGTAAGTTGCTGTGCACAAGAATAAGCAATCTGCCTAGTTCCTTAAGAACATGGATTCCATAATGACTTGACATGGGTTCCATAATGACTTGACATGGATTCCATAATCACTTGACATGGATTCCATAATGACTTGACATGGATTCCATAATCACTTGACATGGATTCCATAATCACTTGACATGGATTCCATAATGAGTTGACATGGATTCCATAATGACTTGACACGGATTCCATAATCACTTGACATGGGTTCCATAATGACTTGACATGGATTCCATAATGACTTGACATGGATTCCATAATCACTTGACATGGGTTCCATAATGACTTGACATGGATTCCATAATCACTTGACATGGGTTCCATAATGACTTGACATGGGTTCCATAATGACTTCACATGGATTCCATAATGACTTGACATGGGTTACAAAATGACTTGACATGGATTCCATAATGACTTGACATGGATTCCATAATGACTTGACATGGGTTCCATAATGACTTCACATGGATTCCATAATGACTTGACATGGGTTACAAAATGACTTGGCATGGATTCCATAATGACTTGACATGGATTCCATAATGACTTGACATGGGTTCCATAATGACTTGACATGGATTCCATAATGACTTGACATGGATTCCATAATGACTTGACAGGGATTCCATAATGAGTTGACATGGATTCCATAATGACTTGACACGGATTCCTTAATGACTTGACATGGATTCCATAATCACTTGACATGGATTCCATAATGACTTGACATGGATTCCATAATCACTTGACATGGGTTCCATAATGACTTGACATTGATTCCATAATGACTTGTTGCTCATCATAGGGCATTTAGCAAAACAACCACTGTTGCTCCTCCTCCGCCATGTTCGACCCATGGTGTCGCCATATCATGCCCTGGAGTGTCGATTCACGTCGGTTGCAGTATCATGTAGCTTGTCTTGTACATCATCACTGAAACTCATCTTGTACGTGGTCACAGAGACTCGTCTTGTACGTGATCACAGAGTCTTGTATGTGGCCACAGAGTCTTGTACGTGGCCATAGAGACTCGTCTTGTACATGGTCAGTGTTTTGTACGCACGTAGTCACAGAGATTAGTCTTGCACGTGGTCACAGAGACTTGTCTTGTACGTGGTCACAGAGACTCGTCTTTTACGTGGTCAGTGTTTTGTACGTACGTGGTCACAAGACAAGTCTTGTGCGTGGTCACAGAGACTAGTGTTGTTACGTGGTCACAGGGTCTTGTACGTGGTCACAGAGACTAGTCTTTTACGTGGTCAGTGTTTTGTACGTACATGGTCACAGAGACTAGTCTTTTACGTGGTCAGTGTTTTGTACGTACATGGTCACAGAGACTAGTCTTTTACGTGGTCAGTGTTTTGTACGTACATGGTCACAGAGACTAGTCTTTTACGTGGTCAGTGTTTTGTACGTACATGGTCACAGAGACTAGTCTTTTACGTGGTCAGTGTTTTGTACGTACATGGTCACAGAGACTAGTCTTTTACGTGGTCAGTGTTTTGTACGTACATGGTCACAGAGACTAGTCTTTTACGTGGTCAGTGTTTTGTACGTACATGGTCACAGAGACTTGTCTTGTACGTGGTCTGTGTTTTGTACGTACATGGTCACAGAGACTTGTCTTGTACGTGGTCTGTGTTTTGTACGTACATGGTCACAGAGACTTGTCTTGTACGTGGTCAGTGTTTTGTACGTACATGGTCACAGAGACTTGTCTTGTACGTGGTCTGTGTTTTGTACGTACGTGGTCACAAGACAAGTCTTGTGCGTGGTCACAGAGACTAGTCTTGTTATGTGGTCAGTGTTTTGTACATACGTGGTCACAGAGACTCACCTTGTATGTGGTCACAGAGACTCACCTTGTACATGGTCACAGAGACTAGTCTTTTATGTGGTCAGTGTTTTGTATGTACATGATCACAGAGACTCGTCTTGTATGTAGTCACAGGGTCTTGTACGTGGTCACAGAGACTAGTCTTTTATGTGGTCAGTGTTTTGTACGTACATGGTCACAGAGACTCGTCTTGTACGTGGTCACAAGGTCTTGTGCGTGGTCACAGAGACTAGTCTTTTATGTGGTCAGTGTTTTGTATGTACATGGTCACAGAGACTCGTCTTGTATGTAGTCACAGGGTCTTGTACGTGGTCACAGAGACTAGTCTTTTACATGGTCAGTGTTTTGTACGTACATGGTCACAGAGACTCGTCTTGTACGTAGTCACAGGGTCTTGTGCGTGGTCACAGAGACTAGTCTTTTACATGGTCAGTGTTTTGTACGTATGTGGTCACAAGACTAGTCTTGAGCATGGTCACAGTGACGTGTCTTGTACCTAGTCGCAGAGACCACGCTTCTACATGGTCACAGAGACTCACCTTGTATGTGGTCAGTGTTTTGTACGTATGTGGTCACAGAGACTAGTCTTGAACGTGGTCACAGAGACTCACCTTGTATGTGGTCACAGAGACTCACCTTGTACATGGTCACAGAGTCTTGTGGTCAGTGTTTTGTACGTATGTGGTCACAGAGACTAGTCTTGAACGTGGTCACAGAGACTCACCTTGTACATGGTCACAGAGACTCACCTTGTATGTGGTCAGTGTTTTGTACGTATGTGGTCGCAGAGACTCACCTTGTATGTGGTCACAGAGACTCACCTTGTACATGGTCACAGAGACTCACCTTGTATATGGTCAGTGTTTTGTACGTATGTGGTCGCAGAGACTCACCTTGTATGTGGTCACAGAGACTCACCTTGTACATGGTCAAAGAGACTCACCTTGTATGTGGTCACAGAGACTCACCTTGTGCATGGTCACAGAGACTCACCTTGTATGTGGTCAGTGTTTTGTACGTATGTGGTCGCAGAGACCCATCTTGTACATGGTCACAGAGACTCACCTTGTATGTGGTCACAGAGAATAGCCTTGTACACGGTAAGAAGAGTCTTGTACGTGGTCACTTGACTAGTCCTGTATTACTTGTTATTTTCCCGCATTTGTTCAAAGGCTGGTGGTTGTCTATGACTGAACAAGTTGGATGAATTGTGTCATTGTCTCTTGCAGGACGGTGGACAACTACCGAGTTAAACTGCAAGTGTGGGATACAGCAGGGCAAGAGAGATTTAGGTCAATGGTGAGTACTTTCAGCAGGGCAAGAGAGATTTAGGTCAATGGTGAGTACTTTCAGCAGGGCAAGAGAGATTTAGGTCAATGGTGAGTACTTTCAGCATGGCAAGAGAGATTCAGGTCAATGGTGAGTACTTTCAGAAGGGCAAGAGAGATTCAGGTCAATGGTGAGTACTTTCAGCAGGGCAGGAGAGATTAGGTCAATGGTAAGTACTTTCAGCATGGCAAGAGAGATTCAGGTCAACGGTGAGTACTTTCAGCAGGGCAGGAGAAATTCAGGTCAATGGTGAGTACTTTCAGCAGGGCAGGAGAGATTCAGGTCAATGGTGAGTACTTTCATCAGGGCAGGAGAGATTCAGGTCGATGGTGAGTACTTTCAGCATGGCAAGAGAGATTCAGGTCAATGGTGAGTACTTTCAGCAGGGCAGGAGAGATTCAGGTCAATGATGAGTACTTTCAGCATGGCAAGAGAGATTCAGGTCAATGGTGAGTACTTTCAGCATGGCAAGAGAGATTCAGGTCAGTGGTGAGTACTTTCATCAGGGCAAGAGAGATTCAGGTTGATAGCGAATACTTTCATCAGATACATGTGAGAATGTGAATTATCTGATGTTTAGTGTGAGATGTTTAGTTGTGAGAATGTGTCTTCACTGATGTTCAGTGTAAGATGTTTAGGTGTATGAATGGGACTTCAAGGATATTCAATGTTTCAGGCCCCGATGTACTACCGGAAGGCCAATGCTGCCATGTTGGTTTACGACATCACCTCCTCCGACAGTTTCTATGACATCAAGGACTGGGTCAAAGGTCAGACAGAGCTTGTTGAAGCTATTATTAAATATGCAGCTCATAGACCATTATTAGCTGTGTGCGTGATTTGAAAACTAAAAGGAAAATAATTATTAAGTATTGATGAAAACAGTAGAATGTCATCATGGTCAATTGAAAGGTCTAATTTCTCTTGTGTTGTTTTTTTCAGAACTGAAGAAAAATGTAGACACACCTATAGGTAGGTACACTGAAACTTTCTTCCTGTGTGTTCATGTGACTGTAGGAGTAGCTGGAGTCTCGGGACTTTCATGTGACTGTGTGGGAGTAGCTGGAGTCTCGAGACTTTCATGTGACTGCAGGAGTAGCTGGAGTCTCGGGACTTTCATGTGACTGTGTGGGAGTAGCTGGAGTCTCGGGACTTTCATGTGACTGTAGGAGTAGCTGGAGTCTCGGGACTTTCATGTGACTGTGTGGGAGTAGCTGGAGTCTCAGGACTTTCATGTGACTGTGTGGGAGTAGCTGGAGTCTCGGGACTTTCATGTGACTGTAGGAGTAGCTGGAGTCTCGGGACTTTCATGTGACTGTAGGAGTAGCTGGAGTCTCGATACTTTCATGTGACTGTAGGAGTAGCTGGAGTCTCGGGACTTTCATGTGACTGTAGGAGTAGCTGGAGTCTCGGGACTTTCATGTGACTGTAGGAGTAGCTGGAGTCTCGGGACTTTCATGTGACTGTAGGAGTAGCTGGAGTCTCGGGACTTTCATGTGACTGTAGGAGTAGCTGGAGTCTCGATACTTTCATGTGACTGTGTGGGAGTAGCTGGAGTCTCGAGACTTTCATGTGACTGTAGGAGTAGCTGGAGTCTCGATACTTTCATGTGACTGTGTAGGAGTAGCTGGAGTCTCGGGACTTTCATGTATCTGGGGGGAAGGGGGTTGGGGCGCTTCTATTAATTAATTACAGATTGGTCTAGAAGTTGGTCAGGGGGAATGCTTAAAGCACAAGAAATGTCAACATTGCAACTTTGCAGATTTTAATACTTTAGGACATACTTAATCACAAATGCATTACCAAAATTAAATTTATCAAACAGACATAACGTAAAACAGACAATAAAAATCGACAGAGGTAATCATCTCCCAAACAAAACATTTCGCCCACTGTGGGGACAAGAAAAAGTATTTCACTGTGGCAAATGCGCAGGTTGAGTTACAGGGTTTTTTTTCAATTCTAAGATGGGTCGGCACTTTTTATTCTGAATTCAACTTTATGGTTAAGACCAGACGTCAAACTTCCATTATCACCAAAGACTTTGTCACAAAGCACAAGGTGTCTCACTTAGCAGTAGGTTGACGCCAAGAAATCATCTCGAGGGCTGGCACCTAAATCTGTACAAATATTTATTGAGATACAGCAGGTTGAATTGGATAATACTGCCATCCCAATCAGTTAGTTGATGCCACTCAGAAAGAAGAAGTTTCAAAACCTAGACCATTCCCATGAGAGGGCAAAGAGACAATGTCTTAGCAACCAGAAGCCTGTTAACAATTATCACAATGCTGTTTCACATTTAGTTGGACTGTGAATTATGTAAATTTGAGAGGTCAATGAAAAACGAATCTGTTGTATTTTTTTGTCGCAAATCGTAATCTATGTGTTACAAGCATCCGCCATCCCCTTACAGTGTTTGATATGACGCACGATCGCGTACACATGTACACACGCACGCACAACACACAACAACAGACACACAAAACGCAGACACAAGCACAGACACACACACACTCAAACTCAGAGCTACAGATAAGCTGCGTATTTGCGTAAAATACCCCCCGAAAAAATATTCAAAACCCAATTACTTTCAATTAACTTGCGTACAGAAACGCATGCATTAAATGAAAAACTCAAATGTATAAAAACAGCCCGCATAAATACCCGATGAAGCATTTTCAGCATGCGTACAAAGGAGCTAATTTCCAAAACACAATTACGAGCTAATTACTTTCCGAGCCAAGCCAATATATTTAGAACAGTTATATACATCTAAAACATTATTTCATTTTTTTTAATCTTAAAATGCTCACTAATTTTGGGAAAAACCCAATAAAGTGATAAATAGATGAGTGAAAAAATATTGCTTACCCAATGAAAAATGTAATAACCCAATCAAAATAGAAATCCTAGTGTAAAAACTCAATTGCTCAAAAAGTTATCTGGAGCTCTGCAAACTCAAGCATACACACACTGGACAAGTAAGAAGTGACCGTTTATGGTACTGAACAGGGTAAATAATAAATTGCTAGTTACCATGGTTACAGATTGTTTATTGTTATTTTAATTACTCACAATATCAAGAACAAAGGTAATGTTTCACAAATTCAACATTTCAGTGTACATAATATTGATATTTTTATAGGAGTAACAGAAATAGCCGAAACAGTATATGTATAGCTGCTAAGAATCGCACATCAGCCAATGAAAACCTTTGTCTCGTACTGCTGCACTGCCGTGCTGATACCTTTAGGCCACGCCCATAGATAGGATTGTTTTGGGAGCCAATATCATGTTTTGTTTTTATTTCCATTTTTTTAAAAACCATAAAAATCCTAATACTTTAAACAATGCGATCCAATATAGCATGCAGTTGCTTCCCTTTACTGCACATCTCGTGGTATGATAATTGCGGCAATGGGAGTTTGTATTCTTGTTTATGTAGATTGGCCCTATCCAAGGTTGATGGAACTGTTTATTTGGTTAAATACTAGCTTGAACAAGCACTATATTTTTCAAAAGTCATTGCCTGAGAACCAACTCTTATATATTTTAAGCCTAATGTTATGATTTGTTTGGGGGCACGGGTGTCCCAGTCGTCTAAGGCGCCGCGATTCACTGTGCAGAGTTGCGTCCCTTTGGCACGCCAGAAACCTATGATTGTGGGTTCGAATCCCGGTTCGCCCCGATTATGTTTCTAGGTTTGTCAGCACCATACCCGTGCTCATGGGTTTCACCGAAGTGATAAACGTCTGAGACCTGCATCACTTCGGGCTTTCCTCCCACATTAAGCTGACACGCCGCGATACAACCGGAATACTGTTAAAAGCGGCGTTAAACCCAACTCACTCACTCACTCACTCACTCACTCACTCACTCACTCACTCACTCACTCACTCACTCACTCACTCACTCACTCACTCACTCACTCACTCACTCACTCACTCACTCACTCACTCACTAGGATTTATTTTCTCTCGGATACTGACTCAATCAGATGAGAAACCATGACTGTTTCAGTGATGTGTCTGATTGGAAACAAGGCCGACCTTGACAGTGGCAGGAAGGTCAGCGTGGCGGATGCCCAGGAGTATGCCGACTCCATTGATGCCCTCTTCGCTGAAACATCGGCTCTAAAAAACATTGGTAAGATTTCATTTCTTATTGTGATGAGAGATTCTGGAATGAAAATATGATAAATACATTTCCAAATGAGCATGTTGAGGGTTTTACCTAGGATTGCAAACCTCCCTTGGCAGGCAAATTAGGAGAAAATCATTATTTCCGTCCGTCACGTTTCGTTTCCGGAGCATAACTCAGAAACCATTCAATATCTTTTCATGAAACTTTGCAGGTCTGTCAAGTACATGCTGAACTGGTGCCTTTTGCTATTTAGAAATTTTAGAAGTTTTTATTTTTTACGTTTCCATGGCAACAAGATGGACTGTGAGGGTAGGGTTTGTTTCCGGAGCATAACTCATAAACCGTTCAATATTTTTTCATGAAACCTTGCAGGTCTGTCAAGTACATGCTGAACTGGTGCCTTTTGCCATTTAGACATTTTAGAAATTTTTATTTTTTACGTTTCCATGGCAACAAGATGGACTTAGGTTCTGTGAGGGTAGGGTTTCGTTTCCGGAGAATAACTCATAAACCGTTCAATATTTTTTCATGAAACTTTGCAGGTCTGTCAAGTACATGCTGAACTGGTGCCTTTTGCTACCGGGTATTTAGAAAGTTTATAAATTTATATTTTTTAAGTTTCAATGGCAACAAGATGGACTTAGGTTCAAAACTCTTCTTTTTTTTACAATTTCAATGACAAGTTCCACCTCGGTTAAAAAAGGCTTTAGATTTAATTACGTCATAAATTCTGCAACAGGGGCGGGGGATATAGCCACGTTAGTGGCAAACTCTTGTCTTAAATTCAGCTTTTACAACATTGCATCCAACACTACTTTTTGGTTGGTCCTGTGAGTCCCCTCAACGAAGCCATGAAATTAGTTATAGCTGTATCAACATGATCAACATGAATTAAGGTTGGATTTTTACTGACATTTGCTGCAGACTTGGGGCTGAATATCAGCCAATGAGCAGGCCAAGACAAATCCATGTAAATACTCGTCTTCTAGCTCACCAGGACTGTTTAAAGTTAACAAAGTTAGTGATTTCTATATCAGCAGTTTGATTAGGTGGGTTGGAGTCCTGTATGTTTGTTCCTATAGGATTAGAATGTGGTGACCCTCCCCCGACATCTTTAGCTTTTAACATCAGTGCTTTTAAAGGACGCATTGACTTTCATTCTTAGCTCCAAACACTGAATACGTGTCTCTAGTAAAGAGATTAGTTAACAAGTTTGTCTTGCGGGATAAGATGCACTGTTACCCTCTTACATCATTTGGACAAATTAATAAAACCATTTTTGATTTTGGAAATATGTCTCCAGTTAGGTTAAATACTCTAAATACGGACCAGCCAATATTCTACAATAGTGTTCAAAACACAGCCTTCTTATTCGGGACTGCCTCCGTGGTCTAGTGGTAGAGCGTCCACCCAGAGAGCGGAAGGTCCGGCGTTCCCCGGCCACGCCATAACAAAAGACGTCCAATCATATCACCACTCTTTATCTCGTATAGCTTTACAAAGATAGGCGACGACCTAGTCGATCAGATAACGAAAACATTCGCGATTTCATCCCTGACACAAAAACATAGGAAATCGTTGTGGGGTGTAAATAGATGAAAAAGACACATTCGTGTCAACAAAGACAGGCAGTGGCAAATCACTTTCATGCGAAGGTGTACCAGTTGTGGATGTTGATTTTGTGAAACTTTCTCTGATTGCAAGGTAGACTCAATTTTATGGATAACAACTTCTTTAATACTGTAAAAAGCAACGTTTCTGATAGATCCGAATCTTGCTTGACAACGGTATAAGGATCTATACCGAATCGTCGCTTTTTACAGTAATGCCTATCAAACAATTTGTTCTCTTATTAGACTATCGATATGTGCGATAGTTCAATCATATTTAGCACAGGAAAGTAGGCAAGGGTGGAAACAAGACTTTGATAAAAAGACTAGTGGACGCTCTTGCCTCTGTTGCATACAGTGTCGTGTGAGAAACATAATTTCTCACACGACATTGGAGGGCAGGGGTGGCCCAGTCGTCTAAAGCGCCGTGATTCGCTGTGCAGAGTTGCGTCCCTTGGTCGTGTCAGAAACCTATGATTGTGGGTTCAAATCCTGGTTCGCCCCGATTATGTTTCTAGGTTTGTCAGCACCATACCCGTGCTCGTGGGTTTCACTGAAATGGTAAACGTCTGAGACCTGCATCACTTGGGGCTTTCCTCCCACATTAAGCTGACACGCCGTGATATAACTGGAATACTGTTTAAAGCGGCGTTAAACCCAACTCACTCACTCACTCACATGACATTGTATGCCACATGTTCTCTACACAAAGATTCAATGTCGGTTTACAGTCATCGTCTATGTCTCCAAGTCTCACTTTTCCGTAAACCTACCCCAACTCCTGGATCGTGGATCGTGGATCGTGATCTTAAATTACCCGCCCTTGTTCCAGGTATCGAAGAGGCGTTCCTCCAGGTGGCGAAGCAGCTGATCCGGGTGTACGAGACTTACCCCAACTCCGGACTCGGCAACGCTGAGCCTGCTCCAAACCCAGACCTCTTCAGCACCGATGCCGTAAAACTCACAGAGAAACCAGCGCCAAAACATCAAGAGAACGATGGCTGCAGTTGCTGACACAAGCCTTAAAGGTCTTGCTCCATATCGCTTGCATCTTCAAGGGAGGGTCCACGAGGATGATGAACACTTCCAGCGAACAAGAGGCAATGGTTCCAGTTACAGGATCATGGCATGGCGTTGTCACTCCTTGTACTCCTGGGTTTAATGATTAGTGACGTTAAATCTTTACTTAAATATACTACTCAAAAGAAGTTAAGGATCACCAGATTATTTCATATTGGTAATGTTAATCTGTCATGGCATGAGAGATTAACTTTTGTAATATGAAAGAATCAGGTGATCCTTAACTTCTTTTGAGTAGTATATCAATTTAGTGTTCATGATATGCAGTGGCAGATCCAGGGTTGTTAGACACGGGTCATTCTTATTCAGGGAGGGGGTCAGAGGGAATTGGGAGGGTCAGCAAAAAATATGAGTTTCAAGATGAGTGAGTGAGTGAGTGAGTTGGGTTTTACGCCGCTTTTAACAGTATTCCAGTTATATCACTACGTGTCAGCTTAATGTGGGAGGAAAGCTTGAAGTGATGCAGCGCTCAGACGTTTACCACTTCGGTGAAACCCACGAGCACGGGTATGGGGCTGACAAACTTCAAGATGAGCATCCTAAAAAATAATGTATACATGTTATTGGATGAGGTTCATGAAAAAATGGACATTTTTATATTAAAAAAGAAAATACTTTTTGCATTTTGTCTTTTCAGGGTGGGTCATCCAAAACCATAACACGTTATTTTTTTCAGTACATTAGTGCATCAAAAACGTCAGGCCACACCACACCTGTAATAAATGGCCTGCTAATAGGGTATAAACTTAAAAAAACTTAAAAAAACTATTATTATGATTCTTCATTACAATCCACATGCCTCTTTAACTTGGCTGAAATGTGCTATGTCTTCATTGTGCATGGAGGGCGGTCGGGTAGCCTAGTGGTTAAAGCGTTTGTTCGTCACGCTGAAGACCCAGGTTCGATTCAGGACATGGGTACAATGTGTGAAGCCCATTTCTGGTGACCCCCACCGTGATATTGCTGGAATATTGCTAAAAGCGGCGTAAAACCATACTCACTCACTCATTGTGCATGGTCATAGGGAGTTATCCTTATCTTAGTAATCATTAGGGGAGCAGTCATTGTGCAGTGTGTGGATCTGTCACTGGTGTTTATATGTGTGTCATGCCATTCTACAAGGTGTTAAACCAACCAGGGATACATTTATCTGTATTCCCTCTGACCAGCTTGTACATGTCTGCTAACTTTTCTCAAGGACGTTGAGTGTCCTTTAAAAGCATCCTTTTAAGCGTGGTTCTTTAAGAGCATCCCTTTAAAAGTGTCCTTTTAAAAATAACCCTTTAAGAGCGTCCTTTAAGATTGTCCCTTTATAAAAGCTTCCTTTCAGATCATCGTTTTAAAAGCAACCATTTAAAGGCGTCCTTTATGATCGTCCCTTTAAGATCATCACCTTACGATTGTCGCTTTAAAAGCAACCATTTAAGAGTGTCCTTTAAGCTTGTCCCTTTAAAAGCTTCCTGCAAGAGTGTCCCTTTAAGAGTGTCCTTAAATCCTCCTTTGGTACAAATCACATGTATAAGATACCATTGGATATGTTATCAACTGCATTTCAATAGAGAGTAAGATAGTAAGATATGTAACGTTTATTTATTATAATATTTTTTTCAAGTTTTTTAGAGGAATCTAGCCAACATTTGGTAAGAAACTATTCAAATATTTTATATTTTTGATATAGCGGTTATTTCAAAAGTTTCTTCAGATATTTACATTAAGTTACCCTGTATATTGGTATAGTAAAATAAACCAAAATAACTTTATGTACTGCTGTGATAGAAACTGAATAACTTGGTAACCGAGAGTGATAATTCATGAAATTTGGCGAGCTAAACTTTTACAGAACTATCGCCTATTCTCTGTAGCTTGTCAGAACAAGTATCCAGGTTAGGTAGGAGTAAGATGGGTACCCGGTAGAACAACAGAACCTGCGCGATCTATTCCGAAGATAGCTAGATTCCATCTTTCACTCCACTTGACACTGATGTAATATTTACAAGAGGGAAAGAGAGCACATCACTGGCACCTGACCGATGGCAAGTCAACAGCCATTAAACTATGATCACCTCTCACCTCTATAAACTCACCTCTTTGGTAACTGTACAGGAGCATTGCTCACGAACCCGTTCTGTTTGGAAAGTAAGATAAAATAAAGCTTTTATAATAACTGTGTGATTGGCATTCTAGAATTTAGTGAGTAAATAAGAAAGCGTACAGCTTTATAGATGGCAGATTTCTGGTTAATTGCATATAGTGATGTTCCTGTGTGGATTATTTACAGTTATCGGGCGGTCGGGTAGCCTAGTGGTTAAAGCGTTCGCTCGTCACGCCGAGGACCCAGGTTCGATTCCTGACATGGGCACAATGTGTGAAGCCCATTTCTGGTGTCCCCCGCCGTGATATTGCTGAATATTGCTAAAAGCGGCGTAAAACCATACTCACTCACTCACTCACTCACTCTTTACCGTTATCAAGCTGGAGTGACAACAACCAACTGATAAGAGGTATATATGCATGATAGTTTGTGATAAGCAGATTAACAGTAAGAATCTACATCAAAACGTTGCTGTATGCATTAACCGGAAGTTGCTATCCATTAGGGGTGTGACGTTAAATCGAAATATTGCTATATTGCTATTGGTAAGCACTTAAATTCCATAAATCGATTGTTAAATCAGTGTCCGATCAATAGTGTCAATTTCAGTTAGGAATATCAATAGTTTTGATTGTATTTACCATATCATGCAATAGTGTCACCGAAACACGCTCGCGAATGCAGTGGAGTGAGGATTAGAGTTAACTGCCCTTGATGCTTAGCAACCGGTCTTGGGGGAGGTTGACAGTCAAGTAATTTACACATGGTAATTTGGAAGTTTCTTTTTCTTAAATTATCAGGGTAAAGAAAAACCAAATCAGTCATATGTCAAACTTTACTTTGTATTTGTTGTTATTGTTATCACATTCAAAGGAAACTTCAGTTCCAAGGTTTAATTCAAATCTAAAATCCATCTAAAATGATACACTGAAAACTATCGATATTTATCGCAATAGTTTCTTTCGATATCAATAGTTATCGCAATAGTTTCTTTCAATATCAATAGTTATCGCAATAGTTTCTTTCAATATCAATAGTTATCGCAATAGTTTCTTTCAATATCAATAGTTATCGCAATAGTGATTTCCAGACCAATAGTCACGTCTACTATTCATAAAGTTGTATGATTTCTTAGCTTTTAGAATTACCTAAGAAAAAGTAAGTGCTCAATTAATGAACAGACATCCTTGCCGTTGGTATGTGTCAGCTTATAAAATGGCCTAGTCTGAGTAAAGCTCCTGTAAGTCCTTATATGGTACTATCTGTATGCAATGGATAACAAGCCTTTTATTTCAGATTTAGACTAGATTCAGATTTTCATCATGTATCTTAATGAGTTTATGCAAGGTCGTTGACACCAACTAACATCAATATGAAACAAACGTGATGCTGATGTTTGATTTATTCTTTTTGATGTTAATATAATACTCATCTTTGGTTTAAACGTATAGAAAAAGCATCTTTTCACATGTTTATATGTTATGTCACGGATACGCAATCAGGCTAATATGTCACGTTCATTTATTGTTGTTTTGTGCATCAGTGACAGTTATATACTGTACCATACAAGATGAGGAATAGCCTGGGTTTTTTTAAATAATTTTTATGTGCTTGGTAGTAAACAAGCTCCTTCCCAGCGCATGACACCTTCGTTACACTCTCGGTAACATCGCTGCCACCAGTGTGGGCATAGCCTTTACAAGAATCTTGAAATTTGGCCTCTAACACTGAAAGTACTAACGTTATACTTCTGTTTAAGTCTTGGGAATGCTATAACAGTTAATTCTTAAAAGGTTTACAACTGACATTATGTCCCAGATGAATTTTACCTTTTTGTTTGTTTCATCAGATTGGTTCGAGATTGCAGACGAACGGCTTTGGTTTGGTTTGGTTTGTCGTTTAACGCCGCACTCAGCAATATTACAGCTATATGACGGCGGTCTGTAAGTAATTGAGTCTGGACCAGACAATCCAGTGATTGATTTTCCGTTAGTCTACAATCTCAAACCAATCTGATTAAGCAAACAAAAACATAAATTCATCTGGAAAACATGGTCAGTCGTAAACTTTTTCAAAATGAAACATGGTGGCATTCCCAAAGACATAAACAAAAGTACAAACGTTACTACATTTGGGGTTAGAGGGCAAATTTCAAGATCCTTGTAATGGCCGCGCCCACACTGGTAGCAGCGATGTTACCGAGAGTGTAACGAAGGTGTCACGCTGGGAAGGAGCTTGGGCGTTGTGCAAGAATGTTCACAACAGTGTAACAGTTGGGAGATAAGGAACTGTTTCTTTGCTAATGCCTGTTACTAACGACTGATAACATGGCTCCAAAGTTGGCCTCATCACTCTTGCTGGTGCTATTTTGTAGTTAGAGATATTTTGAGATAGGGAAGAACCACTCTTGACAACAGATAATGGAATGATTTGTGTAGGACGCAATAAACAAATACTAGGTTAGCTTGTGACTGCTGTGATAATGTCACACGTGTGATGTAAATCTGTGTATATTTGATACATTCCATGGTTTTACTGTTCATTGACATATCCTCAATGCTAAATATATTTTTACAGAGCTCCAGACATGCTGACACAGAAACAAAATAGTTGAGGTGTTACGACCTTCATGTGGCTGGCAATCCACTCATCCTTTTTCTGTTTTAAAGAGTGTTCCAAGTTCAAACATCAAGAGTCGACAGTGTGCAACATGTCAACAATTATGTCTCATAATTTCCAGGCAGTGGCAGCCAAGTGGTAGATCTATTTCCCCAGGGTCGATTCCCCACATGGGTACAGTGAGGCCATTTCTGGTGTCGTCTGCTGGAATATTGCTGGAATATTGCTAGAATATTGCTGGAATGTTTCTGGAATATTGCTGAAATATTGCTGGAATAGTGCAAGGATAGTGCTGGAATATTGCTGCAATATTGCTGCAATATTGCTGGAATATTGCTGGGATATTGCTGGAATGTTTCTGGAATATTGCTGGAATATTGCTAGAATATTGCTGGAATATTGCTGGAATATTGCTAGAATGCAAAAATAAAACCACCAGCCCTCATAATTCCAGAAACTCAATTCTCCTTCTAGGACCATTTGGGTTTTTTCTTTTCTTCTAGAAATTTCAAGATTCAACATTTTAAGTTGAAAGTTCAAGATTATAAGTTGAAACTTTAAGATTTTTGCTTGAAATTTCGAGATACTTAGTTGAAATTTCAAGATAATAAGTTGAAATTTCAAGATATTAACTTATTATCTTGAAATTTCAACTTAATAATTTGAAATTTCAACATATCATCTTGAAATTTCAAGTTAGCATCTTGTAGTATCAAGTTAGTATCTTGAAATTTTAAGAAAAAATATATATAAAAAATAGCCCTAAAAGTCTTCCGTATTCAATGAATAATTTCAATGTAACTTCCTGTATTCCCCTCAGTGATGTATATGTGTACACTTGCGACTCTAGCCACAATTCCGAAGCCAGAGTCAAGTACTATTCTTTTCTGGTCTAGTAAGCTCAGTCCATATGATGACACAAAAAGCTACTGAAAATGATGGCAAGATGAAGAGCTAGTTCGACTAGTACCCTTCACTTTATGGTATAGACTGTGTCTGGCATCCACATGCTTGCCTGAATTTACGTTTTAATTTTATATCTCGTGATAAAATATATATTTGCAAATATGAAATTGATATTTCAACCCCATTTTAATAACTTTGAATGATTTTAGTTGAAACTGCTGAAACTGCTCCAGTAGCTGAAGTCTGGATTGGGTAAAACAAGAAGTATACTGACAAAAACTATTTGAGTACATTAAAAAAAAATAGTCTAGGTCCTCAGGCACCGCCCGCATCATCATAAGGTTCGCTGCAGTTTCATTTTTATTTCTCATTTAAAAAAAACAAAAACAAAAAACAAAACAAAAAAAACAAGGGCAGTCTGGTAGCCTAATGGTTTGGTTCCTGTCATGGGTACAAAGTGTTAAGCCAATTTCTGTTGCCCCTCGCCCTGATATTGCTGGAATATTGCTAAAAGCGGTTTAAAACTCACTCACTAAAAACAACCAAAAAAGTCCTTAAATATTCCAAATCCTCAAGTACTCAAATACTGTATTCCAGTATGCTACCCATCAAAGAATACATTTCTGTAGTGAGGCCATGTCCCATGTTGATTGTACACAACTGTTTAATTGGTTACATACTTGTTTGAACAACAACAACAAAAACCACCGCCCGCTCTTACAATATTTTCAAAAGCCATTGCCTGAGAACCAAGTCTTTTATTTTATTAAGCCTTATGCGCACCATTATCTGGAGCTCTGACAGTAGTTAGTAAAAGTAGTGACAGTTATGCTTGTAGTGGAGCAGTGTCATCCTCGGTGATGCAGGGTATAATATCGCCATGGTAGGATAAACACCCTGTGCGGTGAGGTTTCAAGCTTATCATTAACTTCCCTGAGAACTTCTCTGTGTGCAACTTGAATTAATGTTTTTTCTGAGTAGGGCTGGGACGAGTCCAAATTTACTACCCGGGTACCGGACCCCGTTACCCGACCCTACCCAGGTACCTACTGAAGGTCTCAATAGTGGGGAACAAGATGTCTCATTGGGAATTTTGTTACCGCAGCACTGGCAAAAACTATTTAGATACATGTATCAAACAGTCAGATCATGCATACACTGAAGTTGACTGAAGCTTCATCTTTACTGAAACTATACAAGTCAGAAGGAATGTGCTTGATCAGAAAGAATTGTAAACAGATGTGACTTGTAGTGTAGCCACTGAGCTATAGTGAGTTTTTGTCATTAAACAATATATCACGTGACTAACCACGGGTCCTACTCAGGACCCACCCGACCTGAGTACCTGAGTTACCCGTCCCAGCCCTAGTTCAGAGTCATTTGAATCAGACATAATACAAAGATGTAACAGGCTAGGGTATTTAGTAGTTGGCATGTATACATAATACCCTGGCTCACCGTGGATGGAACAAGGTTAGAAGTTTTATTGTTCTTACTCAGTTGTAGTTGGGTTTCATTGTATGCAAAGAGAAATAATGTAATCATTTGATTTTATATGTTTATTTGATATGATCACGATGATTTTGTTGAAGATGCAAGATCCACCACACGGAAATTTGTTCCGCCTATGTTTCCCTTATGTTCCTCTTATGGTACATGGAAAGATTTCTGCCCGTAAGCCTTGCATCAAATTTTACCTTGGTTAGGAGAACCTAACCGGAACGTTAACCATAACCCTATTTATACCACGAGGATGCATGATCTTCATTGTTTCGGCAGGTCGTTATTCTTCGTAACAGCCCCAGCACCTGCAACACCAAAGTTGGCCGATTCAATTCAGACAAGCATGGCGCGAGTCTTGGTTCACAGTTTGTGTCTTGCGAAAACTGCATTGTGTTCAGGGCCACGTGGTATAATTTCGCGAGGCCCCAGCACGTGCAACACACCAAGGCTGGCCGATCCAATTTGGACGAACAGGAATCGAGCCTCAGTCCACGTGGTATAAATCGGTAATTTTTTTAATTACTTATGATTTTTTAAAGTTTCCAGGCAGGGGTTACGGGCGGAACTTTACCTGTTATTTTTATGTTATACCTATGTGATACGTTTACTATTTATTCGAAAACTTGGACTTGGAGTTCGTAATGTACAGGAAATTAAGAACATATCAGCAACTCATTCATATCTTGAGGCAACCCTGCATGCTGTTGTCACATTCCTACAGGCCAGTGTCCATAGCTTCAACTTTTGCCCTCATGGCCTGCAGTAAATTTACATGTCGATCCATTTGTCACAATAAACTGCAGCTTCTTGACTGAGAGTTCAGTCAGGGCCTGCAGCTTCTTGACTGAGAGTTCAGTCAGGGCCTGCAGCTTCTTGACTGAGAGTTCAGTCAGGGCCTGCAGCTTCTTGACTGAGAGTTCAGTCAGGGCCTGCAGCTTCTTGACTGAGAGTTCAGTCAGGCCCTGCAGCTTCTTGACTGAGAGTTCAGTCAGGGCCTGCAGCTTCTTGACTGAGAGTTCAGTCAGGGCCTGCAGCTTCTTGACTGAGAGTTCAGTCAGGGCCTGCAGCTTCTTGACTGAGAGTTCAGTCAGGGCCTGCAGCTTCTTGACTGAGAGTTCAGTCAGGGCCTGCAGCTTCTTGACTGAGAGTTCAGTCAGGCCCTGCAGCTTCTTGACTGAGAGTTCAGTCAGGGCCTGCAGCTTCTTGACTGAGAGTTCAGTCAGGGCCTGCAGCTTCTTGACTGAGAGTTCAGTCAGGGCCTGCAGCTTCTTGACTGAGAGTTCAGTCAGGGCCTGCAGCTTCTGAAGTCTGTGGGTCCTGGTGGCAGCCCGGCACTTCACTTTTCAAACATTGATTCAGGATTTATATCAGTGTCCACATACAGGTTCTCACAATTTGCCTTTGTACCAAGTGTGTTGTTTGACTGCCTTTGAACATCTAGGACTGGATGCTACACTGCTTGGTATTCCACCCCATGTTTTATATCAGTTGGAGTCACATGTTCCATCAACTGTAACAATGTTGTAGTATGAATGGGGAGAGGGGTGGGGGGTCATTCCAGATTATTTTTGCAAGTAATGAGCCACGGACATGAAGAACAAATACCTGCAGTTCTTTGGAGTATGCAGTGGTTACAGTGCCAGTTTAGTATATTGCAGCGGTTGCACGGACATGATCCTGTACAATATGTTGTTCCCCAGGTTGTGTGGAGTCGGTGTAGACAGGGTAGAGAGTAGAACTTGCAATGTTTTCAGAGCTGCCTTAAACAATGTGATACATGTGAATAGTTGATATGTTTTCGGAATAATGATGTTTTTATTTTTGTAAATACCAGTGGAGAGGCTGGGTGTAATTGTACATAGCATGAAATAAACCATACCACCATTGTTGTTTGTTTGTTTGTCAACTCCAGATTCAGCAAAATTCCTGCTCTTTGATGGCAGCTGTAATAATTGTGTCTGAACCAGACAATCTAGTGATTGACAGTATGTTTGTTTGTTGTTTAACGCCGCACTCAACAACATTCCAGCTATATGACGGCGATCTGTAAAATAATCGAGTCTGGATCAGACAATCCAGTGATTGACATCATGTGCATCGATCCATGCAATTGGGATCGATGACATGTATCAACCAAGCCAGCGAGTCTGACCACCTGATACCGTTAGTCGCCTCTTACGGCATGTATGGGTTGCTGAAAGCCTATTCTACCCCGGAATCTTCATGGGTCGATTGATAGTATGAGCAACACAGTCAGGTATGATGACGCACAACCAGCGAGCATTAAATATTGGCACTGGTCCTTGCCAAACTACCCAATAGTTAGGGTATCATAAGGACTAGTAGAAATTTGCCATTCTTAAGGGTTTTGCAATGTTATTACAAGGACAAGTGGACTGAAACTGTTAGTTTCTACCAACCAGACCACCTGATCCATTAGTCGTTTCTTCCAACCAGGAAATATTGCTTGGTCCTATTCTAATCTGGAGTTCCTATCAGTGGTTCGTGTGGTGGAGACAGGGACAAATTTCAACGCAGTCATGACCAACCTAAATTTATACCCATCAAAATGTTGGAATGACTTCAGGCTACAGCATACTTGTCTACACCTCGAGCTTACTTACCAGCTCTGGGGATATAGCCAGTACTGTGTCACGAGACTTCTGAGGAGACAGGGGCGGTCGGGTAGCCTAGTGGTTAAAGCGTTACCTCGTCACATCGAAGACCCGGGTTCGATTCCCTACATGGGTACAATGTGTGAAGCCCATTTCTGGTGTCCCCCGCCATGATATTGCTGGAATATTGCTAAAAGCGGCGTAAAACCCAGGTCTTCGGCGTGACGAGCGAACGCTTTAACCACTAGGCTACCCGACTGCCCCTACACTGCTTGTAAAGCTCAAAGGCATTTCTGGGCTGTTAATACCTGTCGGAGTATCTTGTTTGTACGTATCGTCTGCCTGAAGTACAGACCAACCAACTCTGTAGGTGGAGTATCCCAAGGGCAGTGACTCTGTCTATAGCTCTTAAAACTGAAACAGGACCATTGCACAAGTGAGTGCTTTAAAGACACAGATCACATTTACTCTGTGCATAGCTTAACATAAAGCAGACAATTTCTCAGATCTATTTTCATAGAAGGGTATTTTCTTAAAGTGTTGCTATTGTTCAACCACCCCCACTATTTGTTTGTTTGTTGTTAACACCGCACTGAGCAATATTCCAGCTATATCACGGCGGTCTATAAATAATTGAGTCTGGACCAGACAATCCAGTGATTGACATCATGACCATCGATCCACGCAATTGAGATCCATGACATACATCAACCAAGTCAGCAAGCCTGACCACCCAATCCCCACATGAAACCAAGCAAATCACTCTCGTCTTGCAGGCCTCACAAGGGAAGGCCAGGGTGAATACACTACCTTTGTTGTCAAACATTTTATGATCGCTTCACAGGGCTTGATTATTATTGCAAAGTGCAACCTAATATTTATGTCTACATGAACTCAAACTCCAAACTTTACGTACCATACATCACTGATCCATTTAAGGAGTGTTTTGTCATGCTTTCATGGGCTTGACTTCCCACTGTGTGTACTTCCAAGATTATGTGCACGTTCCTTTTTCGTTTAACAGCAAAATGTCATTAAGTTTATGTAAAATCAAGAGAGACATCAGAGACCTGAGATTTTTAGTAAATAAACTTTGATTGGGAATCTAAGGCCAGGCGTTTCATATTTTTCGGATTATAGACCCGCCGACTAATTTTTAGAAAACGTTTAAAAAAAAATCTGACTGCGTAGTCAGTTATTTTATTTGTTATCACCTTTTAGTTTACAATATATGAATTTACCGTTGTAAACTAGTAAAGAGATACATAATTATCTTTGTTGATCTAGAGCGAAACATGAATAGCTTCCCTTGACAATTGTCTTGTGTTGTAACCAGTAGAATTTGTATTGTTACTAGGGGCTTTATCGTCACAAATGGCAGTCTTTTGACACAGAATATGTTCATAAAGTATGCCAGAGGCATTCTGCATTAAAAAAAATGTATCTGGATTTTTTACTTTTTTTAACCCCTCCTCCAACCCTGGACTTGGGGCTGAAAAATCTGTAATCCTAAAAATAAAATAGGTTTATCAACCTTGATAAATAAATGGGACCAGTTGCAACATGGTTTTTATCTGGTGCAAATAGTTTTCAGGTCAACATACACCTCAAATTCCTTAAATCAGGTCCTGCTATATCATTGGTGCCTTAAGTAGGGCTGAGCATGTTCATATTAATTTTGAGCAAAATAAGTTTCCGTACCCACAATGTGGATATTCTATGCGCCTTCTGTTGAAGGGAGAGTATGAAGCAGATCGCGGTGTCATCCCACAGATGGCATCCTCACCATGTCCGCATGCTGACGGGGTTAACCTGATTGGTCAGGTGGACGAGGTGTCAGAAACTGTTGTACGAATCACATTACGTCTTGCTGTCCCAGTATAAAAAGATATAACACCAACGCCTGTGTATCCCAGAGGACGACGTAATGTTTATTTATATGTTAATTACAAGCCTGATAAACAGAACCTCTGGGGTTTTCCATTTTTTTCTTCTTTCTCCAACTTAGTGCTGCTTCCGGCGGAAAGAGCAACCTGTTGAGAGAAATTTCACATGAGAATGGAACATGACATGTCTTGCCGAAGGGCACACAGTTGGTCTAAAAAATCATGACAGGAACTTCAAAGGGTATTTAAAAGACATGAGAAATTTCACATGAGAATGGAACATGACATGTCTTGCCGAAGGGCACACAGTTGGTCTAAAAAATCATGACAGGAACTTCAAAGGGTATTTAAAAGACATGAAGAAAAATTTGAATATTCTAGCAATATGGTGGCAGCCTATAAACAATCGAGCAATATCCCACATTGTTGACAAACAATGATATCCAAATCAACCAAGTATACAAATCGGACCACACACTCCATGAAGTTTTGTTTGTTTAACGCCTCACTCAGCAAAATTCCAGCTATATGACGATGGTCTGTAAATGAAGTCTGAACCAGACAATCTAGTCAGCGAGCATGTTAGTCCCCTCTTACAAGCATGGGTTGCTGAACACAAATCCAAACCCATATTTTCAAGGGTAAATCCATCAAGTAGCGATCTACAATAACCCATAGTTGACATGGTGTAATCAGATACAAAAAATGCTGCTAATCGATAACACTTTTTGACAAATCACACAAACTGGACTGAGCAAAAACCACCCCACATTGCTTTTGTTTGTTGTGTAACGGAGCACTTGGCAACCCAGCTTTATGACGATGATCTGTAAATAATCGAGTCTGGACCAGACAATCCAGTGATTGACGTTATGAGCATCAATCCACGTAATTGGAATACGATGACATGCATCAACCAAACCAGCGAGTCTGACCACCCGATCCTTTCAGTCGCCTCTTATGACAAGCAAAGTGGCTTTTTACAGCAAGCATGGTTACTGAAGGCCTATTCTACTCCACATCTCTAGGGTTGCCCAGGGTGTAACCATGGTAACAGTCAAATGCATACAAACCTTCAGTTAGCCTAGCCTTGCCCCCTGTGGGTTGGCACAGCACTGTGGAGCAGCCCACGCACAGCACAACAGTCTGTGCATGACTGAATACAGTTGTAATCTTGTAGCAACCTGGAACAAAAGCAACTATACAGACTCCCAACTTCATCAACAGGCAATCACATCACATTTCTGACTTTTCAGTGCAATAGTGGATGGCATATACAGCAGTGTTTCCTTCATCAACAGGCAATCACATCACATTTCTGACTTGTCAGTGCAATAGTGGAGGCATATACAGCAGCGTTAGAAACAGTCAGTTTTCATCCACTAGTCCTTATAATGATAACATATAGCAAAACCCTTAAAAAGGGCAAATTTCTACAGGTCTTTATGATACCTTAACTATTGGGCAGTTTGGCAAGGACTATAGGACTAGTACAGTCACTAGTCGACTAAAATTTCCAATCATTGAAACCAGGGTTAGAAATTGGCACTAGTCCTAACGTCCTTGCCAAACTGCCCAATGGTAAAGGTATCATAAGGACTAGCAGAAAATTGCCATTTATAAGGGTTTTGCTATATGTTATCATTATAAGGACTAGTGGACGAAAACTGTTAGTTTCTAATGCTGGAAACCCCTATCATAACAGAACTACAGTAATGATTCATGAAAGTCAAACTCAAAAAGGTTGTTTGCCATGTAAATAAAGATAGACATTGTCAGCAACCATACACCATCAAAATATAATGATACACAATCTACAAAGTCACCGAGCCTGACCACTTCACTCATTACATTGCCTCTTCCCACAGGGTTTGCCCTAGCCTCTTAAAACTGGGGTACCGTGAAGATCCGGGGATCTTCAGCAACCCATTCTTGCCAGAAACAACAACTCAGCTTGTCATGTTCATGATGTCAATCACTGGATCGTCTGGTCCAGACTCGATTATTTACAGACAGCCGTCATATAGCTGTAATATTTAAATATGCTGACAACGAATGATATTGTTTATGCTGCACTCAGCGATATTCCACTTCCAGCCATATGATGGTGGTCTGTAAATAATCAAGTCTGGACCAGACAATCCAGTGATTGAAATCATGAACATTGATCCACACAATTGGGATACAATGACTGGCATCAACCAAGTCAGCGGGCCTGACCACCCGATCATGTTAGTCACCTGTTATGACAAGCATTGTCACCTTTTACGGCAAGAATGGGTTGCTGAAGACTTATTCCACCCAGGATCTTAACGAGTTTAACCGCACCTGTGTTCAAAGGACAGGGGTTCTGAGGTCCTTAGAGGTTTACTCGTACTTAAGTGAGTATGGTTTTCGCCCCTTTTAGCAATATTCCAGCAATATCACAACAGGGGACACCAGCTCAGAGGCTGATATTCGACCACAAGCCTGCAGTGAATGTCATAAAAAAAATTCCAAAATTGAATTTAAAGTTTCCCATTTAGGTTAATAGATTTTATGGCTTTGTGGAAATAAATTGTATTTCATCGATAACAGGACAAAAAAACTGACTTGACCCACTAGGACAATGAAAAGCTGGCCAGGCATTCCAATGAAGAATGCTCCATGGTGAATCAGTGTTCAAAACTGAGAATGAAAGTCAAGGGTGCTTGTCTTAACACCTTTTGATACCTTTAAGAGTAATGAAAATGCGTAGGCTAGCGAATACTGCTAATTTCTATCCCTGCCAACATGACCAAGGGCACCTTGTTTAGAATTCTAAATGCATGGAAAGCTTACCTGGACACTTGACGTCCATGAAATAGCTGTTGGGTGACTGCACCAAACGCTTCAGTTTACATTTTTGCTTTTCCTCCTCAAGGGAGGGGTGGAGAAGGTCTTTCGCGAGCTACAACAGAAAAATGGAAATAGTCAAGTGAACAGTTCGTAAATTGAACAAGATTAATTATCAATCAGTGGTTCCGTCAATTTTGGCATTAGAACAAACAGTTGCAGTGCAATTTGGGTGTAGATCGTAGCTTTGATTAATAATAAATACATAATTAACTCTTAAGACTTTTTTTAAATCGTTTCAACAGCACAATAAACACAATATGTCATATCTACTGCTATAAACTTGACTGCCCTTTATATCATTTGCAGACATTTTTAATCATTTGTGAAGCAGGGATGTTGACATCTTTGACTGTTGTTCGCCGGTGTACTCTTTAAAATAATGAACGTGAGTGAGTATGATTTTACGCCTTTTTCAGCAACATTTCAGGAACATCACATCGCAGGACACTAGAAATGGGCTTCACACCTACCCATGTGGGGAATCGAACCAGTGTCTTCCACGTGAACTGCCCACCTGACTAAGTTATCGTGTCTAAATATGGTAACGAAAACTTTCTAAATTTGGGACTTGTCCAATAATAGATCAACTTCATAAAACAGCACTGGGGCCACAGCACTTATCGGTTGCCATGGTTGGTGTCACCCAAGTTAAGTGTGAGAAATGTGTGTGGATTCTCTCCCCTTGTCAACGTCTTGGGTCTATTTTCTGTTTTGTTTCCCATAATACCATGTTGTTAAATATGGGGAAAGGATTGAACATCGAACTTTACAAAAATAAAACTCATAGTCTCCTCCAATGTAGTCAACACATTTCCATATTCCGATAATAACTCCATTCACTTCTTGCATAACATGTGGAAAGCATGGGATCCGCCATCTTTGTTTACAACTTGATTCGACCTCGACAGATTTCAGTTTTGTTATCCACTTGACAAAACCACAGCCCAATCCAAATTTCTTGTGAACTACGCCAATTAATCATCCTTACACGCAACCTTAACACACGTGATATTTTGCAGTGGAGATTTCGTGGAAATATATACACACGTCATTCACATGCTCACGTCTCGTAGAAAATACAATCATCGATCATGACCGATTTTACAGTCACACATACAAGAATTTGAAACACCTCCTGAAGGAAATACAACCATGGTCATCAAGATTTATGTTTCAAATTGAACACCTGCAAGTTAGAGAATTCAGTTTTGACATATAATAAAGAAATTGCAGTTTTGGTAAGAGCAACTCACTGGCATCTTGTTCAAAGCGAAGCCTGGTAGAAAAGGCCGAGCTGGGGCCTACAACTAATATAGCACGGGGGTCGCTTGCACCACTGTGGTGAAATCCGCCATAGTTTCGCAATCTGTCAGTAATAATGGAACATATTATTGATTGAGAAAAATAACAATTATGTAGAATCATATTCAAATTGCACCTGTGATCTCAGCACGTTGATTTGAAAAGGAACATTGATTAAAATAAGATATAAATACGATCAAGGGCAGGTAACTCACTTAAACTCTTATTGCGCACTTACAATTGTATACATGTTTTATTTTATACATAAGTACATGCTATAGAAAAGAGAGAATCGTGACATTATTCAATCATATTTTTAATTTGAAGTTAAATGCAACCAGAGGCTATGTAATTGTAGTCAGAGTGTGATCGCTTATGAAATAGAAAGTATGGCGGGTAAACAGTGCTAAGAAAGTTTTAACTTAATTTCTAACATTTGTAAAGTGACGTTTCATATAGATTTATAATTTCATATAGTTATGCCGAATATTCCCATAATCAATTCACCTTTTTTCACATCTCAACATAAATAATAGAGACGCAATAAAGACAATAGAGAAGATAATATTGCTAAAAGCGGCGTTACTCACACATACTCACTCACTCACACATCAAGCGGTTATCGGATTCTTTTCTCAAAGCCTTTAGCGGGTGTTCAAATGAGATATAAGAAAAACTTTTTAATTATATATATTTTTGTAAGAAGGGTGAGCGAAAAAATGAAATTCTTATTTGTTCTGTGCTACTTGTGAATTCTGACAGGAACTGTAAGTGTGTTAGAAGTGCACGGGAACATTGGTGAGTGAGTGAGTACGGTTTTACGCCGCTTTTAGCAATATTCCAGCAATATCACGGCGGGGGACACCAGAAATGGGCTTCACACATTGTACCCCTGTCGGGAATCGAACCCGGGTCTTCGGCGTGACGAGCGAACGCTTTAACCACTAGGCTACCCGACCGCCCCCACGGGAACATTAAAGCCACAGAGTACTTTGAGTACCCGTGAAACTATCAACAGTATTTCAGCGTACATTTAGCGTTTATCTGGCTGGGAAACAAGTTGTGATTTGTTTAAGAAGGGAAATTATCAGGCCCCACCCTCCCCAATATTTAAAGTGGAATATCTTTTTTTATAATACGGAAGCCTTTTAGGGCCATTTGTTTGTATATGTTTTCTTGAAATTTCAAGATACTAAGTTGGAATTTCAACTAAGCATCTTGAAATTTCAAGAAAATAATAAACAGATGGCCCTAAAAAGCTTCCGTATAATTTAAGTTAAATTTCAAGATGATATGTTGAAATTCAAGATGATAAGTTGAAATTCCAAGATACGTTAGTTGAAATTCCAAGATACGTAAGTTGAAATTTCAAGATGTTATGTTGAAATTCAAGATATATAAGTTGAAATTTCAGGATATTAATATAACTTGAAATTTCAAATTCTTATCTTGAAATTTCAACTTAGTATCTTGAAATTTCAACTTGGTATCTTTAAATTTCAAGAAAAACATAAAGAAACCAAATGACCGTAAAAGCTTCCGTAATTTTAAAACGTTTATGAACCCAAAATATTTAAACTAAGGAAACGAAGACGATTATTGAACGACTTATCAAAACCGATGATGGTGGGCCGATTAGGGAAGAACGTTCAATACCTATGATGCAGACCCGATTAGGGAAGAACGTTCAATACCGATGATGGTGGGCCGATTAGGGAACAACTTTCGATACCGATGGCGGTGGGCCGATTAGGGAACGACTTTCGATACCGATGATGCTGGGCCGATTAGGGAACAACGTTCAATACCGATGATGCAGACCCGATTAGGGAAGAACGTTCAATACCGATGATGCTGGGCCGATTAGGGAAGAACGTTCAATACCGATGTTGCTGGGCCGATTAGGGAACGACTTTCGATACCGATGATGCTGGGCCGAGTAGGGAAGAACGTTCAATACCGATGTTGCTGGGCCGATTAGGGAACGACTTTCGATACCGATGATGCTGGGCCGAGTAGGGAACAACGTTCAATACCGATGATGGTGGGCCGATTAGGGAACAACGTTCAATACCGATGATGCAGACCCGATTAGGGAAGAACGTTCAATACCGATGATGCTGGGCCGATTAGGGAACAACGTTCAATACCGATGATGCTGGGCCGATTAGGGAAGAACGTTCAATACCGATGTTGCTGGGCCGATTAGGGAACGACTTTCGATACCGATGATGCTGGGCCGAGTAGGGAAGAACGTTCAATACCGATGTTGCTGGGCCGATTAGGGAACGACTTTCGATACCGATGATGCTGGGCCGATTAGGGAACAACTTTCGATACCGATGATGCTGGGCCGAGTAGGGAAGAACGTTCAATACCGATGTTGCTGGGCCGATTAGGGAACGACTTTCGATACCGATGTTGCTGGGCCGATTAGGGAACGACTTTCGATACCGATGTTGCTGGGCCGATTAGGGAACGACTTTCGATACCGATGATGCTGGGCCGAGTAGGGAACAACGTTCAATACCAATGATGGTGAGCCGAGTAGGGAAGGGTAGGTGAGTGAGTGAGTGAGTATGGTTTTACGACGCTTTTAGCAATATTCCAGCAATATCACGGCGGGGGACACCAGAAATGGGCTTCACACATTGTACCCATGTCAGGAATCGAACCCGGGTCTTCGGCGTGACGAGCGAACGCTTTAACCACCAGGCTACCCGACCGCCCCTGATTAGGGAAGAACATTTAATACCAATAATGTTTGGAGGAAGTCAACATTCAAAATACCAATAAAAATATTGAGTTGTGCCCGCTTTGAACAGTATTTCAGAGGGGAAAGTTGAGTTTTACGTCGCGTTCAAAATTCTTGCTGTTTGTACCAGTCAGGGCTTATTCCGGTTTTACAGTGCTAGCCCTCTAAGATACAGGGATACCATGCTGCAGTTTTACATGGATGCCCCACTCATACACAGCGTACTGACTCCGAGCTGACAAGTACTTTCTTCCCCTTGATGCCAATCGCCAGGCAGGGTAACAACAAATACCATCTTTTGTTAAGACGCGGCCAGGGATCGAACCACCGACCTTCTACTCCCCGGACAGACAGACCATCTATCCACTCGGCCACGGAGGCGGTCGTTATATATCACGACGTGCTAGTCTATTATAATGCTTAGGAAACAGGAAAGACGTTTGTGTCTTGTGGGGTCAGCAGTATCAATATATAATCCTCCACGACCGTATCTGTTTTTCACATGTCAATCACTGGATTGTCTGGCCAAGACTCGATTATTTACAGACCGCCGTCATATAGATGGAATATTGCTGAGTGTGTCGTTAAACAACAAACAAACAAAACATGTCAATATAAGGCAATCCACATTTTTTTTTCTCATCTCCAACCCCAACCAGCAAGGGTTGTTGTTGTTTGTTTTTTAAATAAATAAAAAATAAATACTGTTTTTTACTAAAATTGTGCAACCTATTTTGAGATTTTAAAATGTAGAACACAGTAAAGTGACGCATGTCACCATAAGGTGCGAATGTGGGTTCTAGTCCCGCACGTGTCTCTACCCAAAAAGTATAGAATTTGTGCTTTACTATAAATAAATTGTCATCACAAATATAACATTGTTGCCTTGTGAAATATTCTTCACACTTTACAATGTCCTTGTTTGATGTTTGTTCGTTTGTTTGTTGTCTAACGCCGCACTCAGCCCATATGACGGTGGTTTGTAAATAATCGAGTCTTGGCCAGACAATCCAGTGATTGACATGTGAAAAACAGATACGGTCGTATCATTCCTAATCATGTTTAGATCTAAACATGTTTGGACTTTGTTTACAATCAAAACACATTTTGTTTACAGTGTAGGTAATTTACTTTGGCGTACATACAAACAAACCTGTGAAGATCCGGGGTAGAATAGGCCTTCAGCAACCCATGCTTGCCGTAAAAGGCGACTACGCTTGTCGTATGAGGCGACTAACGGCATCGGGTGGTCAGGCTCGTTGGCTTGGTTGATGCATGTCATCGTATGTCGATTGCGTGGATTGATGCTCATGATGTCAATCACTGGATTGTCTTGTCCAGACTCGATTATTTACAGACCGCCGTCATAAAGCGGGAATATTGCCGCGTACGGCGTTAAACAACAGACAAACACATGGCCAGGTCCATCGTCTAGCCACGCTCATCGGACGTGTTGAGTGACCTCGGATATACGTGCAATAGTATACGGATGCGTAGTATACGCCGCTTTTGATGAAAAGTCCTTCAATATCACAGTTGGTTTTACATAAAGTACACATGACGAGTTTCGGTGTGACCAGTTCGTAAACTGTCGCGCAGATTTCGGTCGATTGCAGGATTTGCAAAGCATGTGTACCGCCAACCCGTTGTAAACAGATATTTTCCAAATCTTTTCATGTTTTTTATCAAGATGCTCACGCGATTTCATGCACTTCGCGATGTAAGACGATGTGTTTTATCACAATATAGATCCTGATTATCGATCAGATCGTCTTGACTGGGCGCCGCCATTTTGTTTGAATCAAATGCAAGTGATACGAGAGGTGGAATCTGATTGGTCCATAGGAGAGGCATGGAAGGGACATAACTCGAAAACGTCACTGGTGGCGTTACGATCGAGCCCAGGAATTCCAGCCTAGATCGGCAAGGGTGGAAACTGGACTTTTACAGTCGGTTATAGAAAGCCCCAAGTTTCAAGCTTTCTGTGGTCCCTAACATTTGATATATACTTAGCACTAAGTCCAATAAAATCAAGACATCTGTTTGTGGCTAGTCGCCATCTTGAAAACCCATACAAGTCCGCGTTGCTCAGCTACATCTATGGCGAACAACTCACTGGACTCTAATCTGGCGGTTGGGGGTGGAGGATGATCAATATTTTCCTTGTGAAAATGTGTTGATAAAAAAACTTCGACGGGAAAAGGTGGGTAGGTCGGCCCCCCCTTGCTCCGCCCGGCTGCCACTCTCAGCCGATCAGTGAGGATTGGGTGGTCAGAATATGTGACCTGCAAGGCTGAATGTGGGTCACCCTACGGCGTTGGTCGCAGCTGCTGCAGCAATCAACCATACATT